GCCTCCGGCCCCAGCGCCGGGGTCCCCGCGGGGCCTCAGCGCCCCCGGAGCGGTTCACGTTTTGAACGAACCCGCACGGTTCGTGGTGCCCGGGGCCGCCCGTCGTGCCGGGGGGCTGCAGGGCCCTGGCGAGCGCTGTTTTCTCCCGGTGGGCTGCGCAGCGTCCGGCCGTGGCCGCTGCCCCCCACGCTCTGTCCCGGTCGCCGACACCCCGCGCCCAGCCGTGTGCCAGAACCTGCCTCAGCTTGGGCTGAAGTGAGGGCAGAGCTGAGGCGCTTTGAGCGCAGCTTCCCAGAACCGTGGGGACCTGCCCGGTGCCATCCCCGTTACACCGGGACAGGACGAGCTCCAGCGGAAGGTGACGGCCTGCGCCGGTGCCAGCACTGGTGCGGGCAGAGGGAGCGGGGGGTGCTCTGCCCTACGGGCACCTCCAGCCCTGCCAGCTGCACCCTCTGAAGGCAGCAACAAGACCTTTAACCAGCTCTTTCCCTTGCCTCAGTTAGTCTGGTTACCCCACGGGGTTTGTGAAACATCAGAGTAGACGTTCGCATCTTTCCCCACCCGCGGTTTTTGGATTACGCAGGGTAGAGGAGCAGCTCCCAAGGGGCCATGAGTCACACAAGCCCTCTGCAGTGCCGGCTACCAGCTGCACAAACCCTTTGAGAGGCTCTGACAAGCTCCCCTGAGGCTCTCCCATCCCTTGGCACCTGGCGATGCCGAGGCCGGGGATACCTTCCCAGCAAACTCTGGACGCAGGTGGAGCTGCGTCAGGGCGCGGCGTCGCCGCCAAGTCGTGGTGGTGGTGGGGCGAGGTGCTGGGAAATGCAGCGTGCTGATGCCCGACTCCGTAACACTGTTCCTGTTCCCTCACAGCAATTCTCGGCGCTGACCGAAGTGCTCTTCCGCTTCCTAACGGAGCCCAAGGAGGTACGGCCTGCGCAGGCGCCCAGGGGGAGGGTGTGCATGCAGCTCTCCGTGAGAAACGCGCGGAGGTACGATTGTGTCCCTGCTCTTTCTCTTGAGCAGGTAGAGAGGTTTATGACTCAGCTCTCAGACTTCGCCACCATGAATAAAATCAGCTTGGGCCCCCTGAAAAACATTGTCAAAAGTATTCTTTTGGTGCCTAACGGTAAGCGATACATCTGCATGTGCTGCCCTGAGGCCAACAGTTGGGTCCATTCCTGCATGTGGCTAAAGCCTGTCTTCAGAACTGCGGTGCACTCGCTTTGCACGCTGAGCGCAACAATAAACGGCAGCTAATACATGGATTAACACTTAAGAATCAAAAAATTCTCCTGTTGAAATATCCCTGTTTGCTGACTTGGGCTTTGTATTCTTTATACCCTGCCTGCACACACGTCTCACGGGCTTAACTAAACTCGCCGTGGATAAGTGCAAGCACAGCCCTGGGACAGTGCTTGGTTTAACTTGTACCTGTAAATCCGTTTTGCCAGCCTTGTGTTGGCACGGAGTCTGTGTAGGAGCTGCATCCCAGTGACCCGGCACTGTAATCCCGGCAAGGACAAGTGCTGTTGGAGACCGATCAGACAGTGTGTGCACACCTCTAGGGTGGGCTGGGAGCTGGGGCAGCTCTAGGCCACGTAAATGAGACAGCTGTCCTTCAGTCTTGTTTTAGGGAAACGCATGTCCAGTGGTTTGTCATTCATAAAGAGTGGGGAAGAGGGGCAGGGGCATTCCCCCTGAATACCCCAGATTCCAGCACTTTATGAGATTACTCTGCTGCTGTGGCAGCTCTTTGACACGTTAATGCATCAAACACCTCCACTGCACGTTCATCCCGTTGATCCTTCTCGTTATTAACAGCCCTTTGCTCTTGCCCTCCAGTCCTGGGTTCTCCACGGCTCCCTCCACAGCAGTGAAGCCGTGCACAACTGTTCCCTGCCTTCGGCCGAAACTCGTTCTGCTGCTTCGAGCCATTTCTTCTGTCCAGGAGCAGCGCTGAATAATTTCTTTCCCTACAACTGTCTTGGGGGTATTTGATGTGGAATCTCTTGGGAGTATTTAACGTGGAATCGGGGTTTTTCTCCCTTCCTGACTCTGGCCCAGGTGCTCTCAGTCTCGGTGTCCCTGTCTGTGTGTGCTGGGTCTGGTCCTGCTGTACCTTTCCTCAGCTCCGGGGTGCCACAGGCAGCGCCCGCACAGATCCCAGCAGAGAGCTTGGCCTGTGCGCGCCACAGACGGGGAGCCACGTGGGACGGGCAATCTCTGAATTTATGAGATTCCTGCTCTTGGTTCAGAGAACAGAATCCTTGTAAACTTCCATGTGCTGCCTGTGCCCCAGAACAAAGGAGGCAGGCGCAGCAGGGGAAAGTGTTATATGCACACGTTCACACCCATAATCCAAAACACAGCAGGTAGGTCAAATTAGTAGCCTGCCAGCCTTAACAGTTCTCCTTTAACAAGCCAAGCTTCTATAGGAGAGAAAGCAGCAACTTCAAAACACAACCGCTGCTGCTGTTCCCATGGATACCCGCACTGAAATCTCGCCCGCTCTCCCGGCACTCCCAGCGCCCGGACTTTTAAAGCGCTGGGCATCCGCAGAGGTACCGGCAGGCACGGCTGCGTTTCCTATCTCGAGGAGCTGTGGTTTGTTTCAAAACACAGCCCAGGAACAGAGGCTTCCTATCGCAGAGCCTCCGTCCCTGCATTTATTTGACTCGGTAAAGGCTGGTTTGACTCAGTAAAAAGTGATTTTTTTCTTCCTTGCGTTGTTTATTCAGGTGCCCTGAAGAGGAATTTGTCTTCCGAGCAAGTCAGAGCAGATTTTATTGCTCTAGGTAGGTCACCTGACTTTCACTAAATAAAAGATAATGAATATTTATCACATATAGTAATCTCAGTTTCTCCCACAGGCCTAAGTGAAGAGAAAGCCAGTTATTTTGCAGAACAGGTATTAATATATTTTTGCTTGTTTCTAAGCTAACAAAATGACAGTCTTTGAGTGGGACCTTGTAAATCCCTGCTGCGCTACTGAGACATGTCAGCACTCTGGGTAGTTTCTTCAAAACCAGCTCAGAATTTTGAACTGAAGGTCCTCGGATAACCGATGAGGAACTCTTCATCTAGTGATACTTATGGTTTGCTGCAGCCTCTGCCTCATGGCTTTTGGGATTCCCGTGTTCTGGGTGGCTTTCGCTTGATCGTTTTCCTGCTTTGCATGCTCTGAGCCCCGAGGTCATGCAGTTACACGAACACATGGCTTTTCGCACAGATATTGTTACACTGAACCGGGGTTAAAACGAAAACGGTGAGTTTCATTTACAGAAGTGACAAGCAGATGGAAATCCTAGCAGGACCCAAACATCTTTGAAGGCCCTTCCAACCGCGTGGGTTTGCCCCTTTGCACACCTCTGCTTTGGGCTTCTGTCACCAGTCTGCCTCGTTTCTGACGGGCCTTGAAATCGCAGGTAACAGGGAGAACTGATTGCTCCCATGTCTGTTGCTCTTGCAGTGGAAGGTGAATTCCCCCACCCTGACGCGCCTGGCTGTTGGTCAGACGCTGATGATTAACCAGCTGGTAGATATGGAGTGGAAGTTTGGAGGTAATCGAGCTAAAACGTAATGGGTTTGGAAATCCAGCAGCAGCCCTCAGCTAAATAACTTCTTATTTCACAGTTTGGCTAACAAATTATCTGCCTTCTCTCCTTTCCGACTCACAGTGACTGCTGGGAGCAGTGAACTGGAAAAAGTGGGGAGTATCTTCTTACAGGTAAATCTCCTGCATCAGAGGGTTGAGGTTGGTGCGTGGTTGAGGAAGAGGCTGCGACCAGGCGCATGGGAAGTGCCAGGGGCTGGGGGGGAGCTGGGCCTGGCAGGGACGAGCTCTGCAGCCGCGCGTCTGCCGCGGCGTCCCAGTGCGGCCGCCAGCGGACACGCTGCTGTCGGCTTCTCTTCTCGACACATCGTGGGTCACAGAAGTGTGGCCTGCTCGGAAAAGCTGTTCAAAAGGCTCAAGCTAGCGAAGGTCACGCTGTCGAGGGGGAATGTGGAGGCTGTACGGGCTGCTGCGCTCCCCCACAGCTCCGCCAGCGCTCCCAGCGGACCCCTGCGCGTGGCCTTTCCGTGGGGCTCGGAACACAGCTCTGAATTAAAATGCCTCTGCTTTCTCTTTCCCCAAGCTGAAGCTGGTGATTAAAAAAGGGAGCCAAATGGAAAACGTGTACATAGGTGAGTTCTGGAGAAGCAGCGAGCGTTCGAGTAGGCGAAAGCCCCGGGTGTTGGGGGAGGTGGGGGAGCTTGGTGCTGGCAGGGACCTCTCGGGGTCCACACCCTCGGCTGGTGACGTGGCAGGTGAGGGAAGGAACCGACCCCCAGGCGCCGGTTGCTGTGGGGAGGATCCTGACACGGACCCCCCAGGGCCCAGCCAGCTGCCCCCGGCCAGGACGGAGCACCAGAACGGTTCTCCCCACCTTGGAAGCGTAACCTGACATCCAAAACTTGATGCCTCCTTTTATTTTTTTCCTGCAGAGTTAACTTTGCCCCAGTTCTACAGTTTTCTGCATGAAATGGAACGGGTCAAAACCAGTCTGGAAAGCTTCAGCTGAAAGCGCGGGGGCCTGAACCGACATCTGCCCGGGGTGTTTCCTCTCTCCTCCTGGGCTGCAGATCTGCTCTGACACTCTGATAAGCGAAGGCTGCGCAGCGAGCGGCGTCACGGCCCAGGACCCATCAGTCCTTCACAACCCAAATCCTTGGCAAATGTTAGGGAGCAGCTACAAGTCCACTCATCTTTTTTTTTTATATACTATTATGAGAAATTTTGGTCAGAAGTATGCGGATACTTGTATTAAAATAACAAAGAAATAAACCCATTGCCGTCCTGCTCCATTTGTATCAGAACTCGGTTTTGTGAGAAAAAGAGAAACAGCAGCAAAGAGTCATTTTCAAACTTGGAGGAATGAAGCAGAGAGGACAAGGGGGGGTGAGGAGAGCATCTAACCCGGTGAATCGCTCCCCAGCCTCTCGCTTCTCTCCTGTTGAGAAATGGGTCAGTTACAAACTTCCCCATCGTGCTGCACGACGGAAAAGTGTCTCAGGGGCAGAGGATCGTCAACCTTAAACATCTGCCCCTGTGCACAGGGGTAAAACCACCCCGGGGCTTCCCCGACACACTCGGTCACAGCGCAGGCACCGGGGAAGGTACCGGTGAGGTTTTCTCCGTTCCCAGCCCACACGTGGGGGCACCCAGCAGCACCGCGGGTCCCTGCGCCAGCGTCTGCTTCGGTTCAACCCGGGCGCAGAAAGACGGTTCCTGCGAGAAAGGTGCCGCGGAGCCCCCCCGGCCCACACCTCACCCGCACGTTCGGGGCTGCCGAGCCAGCGGCGTTTCCCCGCGTGGGTCACCGGGACTGGTGACGGGAACAGCCTGAGCCGAGCATTTGGGAAACGGGGGCATCCTGCTGGCAAACCTGGGGACGGTGTTTGCATGCTTATTTTCCCACATATCAGACCATTCACCAGCTTTTCAAGCTGTGTCCCATGATTATGGTAAAAAAATTTTTAAGAATAAAAGTCCTCTGAAATAATGCCCTGCAAAATATTCCATCTCCTTTTAGGTGGCAGGAAAAACTCTTTCAGGGAGGAGGAAGAGGTCCGAAGGGCTGCTGTCTCAAGACAAAAGGAATTTTTTTTTTTTT